TGACTGGGGAGAAAATCAGATGTTGCCAACATAGCTTTCTGAGACTCTCCTTCAGGTCACGCCCCCTGTATGATTTCATGATTGACCTGGAGATGTTTACAGCGGCCAAGAAGTTGCATGCCGGCCTTTTTGCATCTGGAGACGTGACGTTCGCACCATGTTGTGCACCACGTCTATCCGGAAAAGTACCCCAGAGACGCCATTGCAGTGATTTGTAGATAGTGTTGGCGCACCCTGGCCTCACATTTGACGCCGGCCCGGCTTTTCTTGCAGGAAGTTCTCTAGAAGTGTTCAACGATGCTTGTATGAGGAGGTTCTCAACATGGTGCCATTGACGTCAGGGCCTGCCAATACCCCCAAGGGAGCGATCTCCCCCTGACGTTGTCCAGTCCACTAGCGCCTCCAAACCTTTGCAGGGTAAAGTCAGGTCACCAAGAACGTTCTGCACCAATGGCGGCCAAAACGCGTGTTGCGAATGCATCCCACTGACCAATTTCGCTAATAACCATTAGCATTGGCACAGCAAACATCCCCCCGAAAGAACGGATTGTCCTTCCTGCTGAGTTGCCAATACCACACTGGCACCCTTCAAGGTTTGGCGTTCCCTCCTTATCCCTTCACTCACCTGTCTTCCTCCTCGCCGCATCTCGGTTCCAGAAGCAATTTGTGAGTGAACGATCAAATGGGAGTGAATGAGAGATTGGTGAACCGGACGTGTGAAAAGAGATGGTGAGCCAAAAAGCGTTTATGACTGATGCATGTGTGACCGAAGGGAAGGGATGGAAGGGCTACACATATCTATCTACATATATGTATATGCATATGTGTTTGGGAATTATATTTCTTGCCTTCACTGCACGGGGATATACCAGACCAACATGTAGCAAACAGATCAGAAATCGGCGGCGATGTCGTTAATTGGTGTTTGATAGCAGTTGTACCGTCTCTCTGTTTTTTGCATGTTGTGGTCATTCCCTATTGTCTAGGTCCTAGTTGGCATTATTTTGTCTCGCATGTGCTCCATTATGTGTATATATAGTATTATATAATATAAATATGTGCATGTGTATGTCTGCCTAGGTTGTTCAGAGCCTTGTCGACGTCAATTGACAGCGGTCTTTTCTGCCGATCACAACGCCTCTTGGAATGGCCCCCAAAAATCCTTCCAGCTGGTGGTTTCCTTTCAGGGAAAATGTCAAAACGGTTCATTCCATGTCTCATTCCCTGCATCCCCCCCAACCTTCCCAACCCCACCCTTCACCCCTCCCCTCCCCCCACAACCCCCCCTGTCAATCCCCCCAACCCTGCCTTTTCAGGTCTCCCTGGAAGCCTTGCGGCGGCATCAGGACGTCACGCTCCGCGAGGCACTGGTGATGGCTTCCTTTCCGCTAGGTGGCTATTGGGTAGCTGTTTTTTTCTCGGGCGTTTTACCTTGTTGGTTGAAATCTTTTGCGTTTTCTGCATTGAACCAGGAAAAAGTTGAAAACGCAAATGCAGAGGGGTCAACAGCAACCAAGTCAAGTAATCCTTGACAGGTGGTTTGGATTCGCGAGTTGGGGATTTGAACCCCTTCTCCTGGAGAGTAAATCGATCCAAACCACAGCCGATCTTTGCATTCAGGCCTTCATCGCAGAGTACCGCCTCGCCCAGTGGTTTATGCGCCCTCCGCCCGCCAGCGATTTCTGCGAGGGAATCCGGGCAGTGCTGGTGGACAAGGACGGCACGGGAAGCGGATGCCAAAACACCAATTTGCAAGCGAATCACCCATCCTCAACCACAAAACCATGGTAAATACCGGTAATTCAAGTGGATGGTGTCCCTAGTTCCCCTTGCAAGATTTACGGCAACCGTCAAACCTATCACTTCCTGCTAGATGAGAAAACTCAATAGCACTTTGCAGTTTTCCCTGAACACTTCGAAGTTGGCTCTCTCTCAGCACAGAGTCGTACGTTGCTTCTCAAGGGGGCAACTTGATTTTGCAGGATTCCGGGATGTCGTTCTGGTTTTGAACACTCCCACCCACAAATCCCGGAGGGGATCACTTTCTCTTTGGCCAGCCTCTAGATCGCCGCTGCGTCCCTGAAATGTCTGCACAAAGGCATGTTACTCAATCCTGTTGCTGCGGCCCTGTGACACGGCAGAGGCCAACAGAGGATTTGGGGTCGACAGTGTGATAGACAATCTGTCATTCACGGAAGGGGATGGAGGATCGGATTGTTTCAAATCTGTCTAGATTGCCATCCCCTTTGGCAGCAGAAGGGCCCAAATGACTGCGCATCAAAACATGGTACGCAGAAGCGCCTTGGTATCTGGAAGCAAGACTAGAACCTGCATAAACACACCACAGCAGCTTAACTTTGAGCCAAATCCACATGATTGAACAACACATGAACTTCTTCCATTTGCTTAAGAATCTGTGTTGTTTGTCCCCTGTTGGTTTTTTCAAGGGAACCTGTCTGGACATACCATCTCTTCAACTAACGTAGCATTTGCGGGAGGGTACCTGGAACATGACTTTCCTCTTTCAGGTACCCTCTGTGAGGTGCCATGTTGGTGGGAGTGAGGGTATTTGTCATGTGTCCTGGGGACTCCAGCAAATGGAGGTGTCCTTTTGACCATGTCTTACTTAACTTCCCCAGAATTAGTCCCCCTTTTACTTGTTTTTGTTTTTCTCCTTTTTTTCCTTTTCTTTTGTCCCTTTTGTTTTTCACCAGGGAAGACATACATTTTGTTGCTGGGGTCCGAATTCCAGCCAAGTTTGGGCCTAGCTTCGGGGACCATCGCGCAGCTTCGCGCCGCGAGGACCAAAGCCCCAAGTGGCAGCCCGCCTCTTTGGAAGAGGCGGGCGAAGCGGGGAGTCGGAATCCCGGCAGATGCCCGGGGATTTTGGCAGTGAAAACTGCAGGGCCATGTGGGTCCTGAGGGATTTGTCACCTCAGGTGAAGTGAAATTTGCAGACTTGGGTTGGGGGGGTGTTTCAAGGATTTGGCATGGGCACTGGCCTTTTTTCAACCAATGTACTAAGCGGTTTGTGATTCTCGAGTGCTCTTGCGATTCTGGAAGACTTGGGTGCTCAATATGAAAGCTTTCACTGCTTCAACAGGACACGAAAAGGAGGGGCAACTTTGGATCACGTTTCGCGCACGTGGCACTTGTTGCAGCAACCCTTGCGGTGGGCTGAGCCCCGGCGCACTGAAAAGGTCCATTGACAGCAACATCCGTGCAACGCCGCGCAGGGCTCGCAACCAGCGAAAACCGTTGCGTAGGATGACAGCTGCGGCCAGTCGGCGTGGTTACTGTGGCAAACAGGACCCCCAAAAAACGAAAAAAGCTGAGCCGCAAGTTCCAGGCAAGGCGCCACGATGGAGCTGCGAAAGATACGCAAAGTTGCTGCCGCGACGGGCTTTTCTGGAAGAGGGACCAACCCCGGTGCGACACCCCAATTGGATCCAAAGTTCACACGATACGTTGTTTCACAGGCCCAGAAGCAACGAGAAGAGCAGCTTTCCCGATTCAGGACCCAAGCCATTTCGCACAGATATCAAGGTCACATGCAAAATCAGGCACGCTGTTGATGGAACTAACTCACCTGAGTTCCTGGGCTTCCGCTTTGGGCTGGCACCATTTGGCAAGCTAAAGTTCCACTTGGTGAATCCAAGATCTGGGGTTTTCAGGCTTCTGGTTCCCTACGTGCCGATGCCTTCGGTATCCTTCGGTATCCTTCGGTATCCTTCGGTATCCTTCGGTATCCTTCGGTGGCTGGGGCCCAGTTTCGCAGGTGGGCGCGCGGCAAGTGGAGGAATTCTTTCAGCCTCTGCCCTCCAGCCACCCGCGGGGCGAGCTGAAGATCTGAGGATGGCTGACGCGTTAAGAACGTCTATTTGGGTCTGTCTTGTTTTGGGGGGAACCACCTTTTGGTTGGTTTTAAATGGAAACAAACTGATCATGGTTGGTCCCTTGAAAAAAGACCCCCCCATTGGTGATCTTCCCTTACGGACCTGTTGCATCCTGATACTGCTTAGAGGGTGGGCCTTTGAAACGGGTTTACGCAGGCCTTACCCCAGCTTCGTCCTTCAGTGTCCCCGCGCTTTGGTGAGCACGGAATGCAGGCAGCTGGTCAAGATGAGATCAAGACGCACGTTTGCTCGTTAGCCCCCTGCACAATAGCATGTAACCCAGCCCAGAACGGGGCCCCTAAGCTGTGACAGTTTTCCGGCTCCGTGTTAATCTGCTAGGGGTCAGGCCCCCAGCGAAGCTCGCCCACAATGACCCTGCAGGTGGGATTTGATGCTATCTCACGCTACTTCATGGAGGTTCTAGGTGCTTCAAGTTTGTTTTGTGTCTAGATGAGCCACCAAGGAAAGTTGAGATCCCAACCGGACGAAGCACCACATCACCCCATTCGCCAGGTCTACCATCACTTGGGTTTACTCAGTACCTGGGCCTTGTCTTCGTGGTAGTTTATGCCATGGCTTCGCCTTTTAGAGACAACCTATACGACGAATAGGGGCCTTTGGCCTTTGGTACAGCCAAGCGCTTGAGCTGACGTAGCATTTGTGCAGGGTCCTGCCAAAGCGCAAATCCCACGGCAGGGTGGCATCGCACGGAGGGCACAAGTTCCCCGCAGAACGCCAGCAGATAACGCAAAGAGTTATGTTGTTGCCTTTCTGGCTGGCTTCAGGTTCAACTTGTTCGCCATTCGCCATGGCCACACTTGATTTTGATCACTGAAAAGCCATCCCGCGATCCATGCTGCAGGTGGGCCCTTCAAGTCAAGGCAGCCCTTGAGCGCCCCCGCGAATCTTCGCGCGTTTTTGGCTTGAAACAAGGTGGTGGGGCTTGGGAGGAACGTCGCTAGGCCAACTGCACGGGGGATGCCTGGAAGGGTTTGCACAATAAAGTGTTGTATGCGTGCGTGCGTGCATGCATGCATGTGTGTGACAGAGGGAGGGAGGGAGGGAGGGAGGGAGGGAGGGAGGGAGGGAGGGAGGGAGGGAGGGAGGGAGAGAGAGAGAGAGAGTGAGAGAGAGAGAGAGAGATAGCGAGAAAAAAAAAAAGAGAGAGTGCGAGAGAGACGGAGAGAAAGGGAGAGAGAGAGAGAGAGATTGGGAGGGAGAGAGAGAGAGAGAGTGTATGTGTATATATATATATATATATGTGTGTCTCTGTGTGTCTCTGTGTGTCTGTGTGTGTTGTGTCTGTGTGTGTCTGTGTGTGTGTCTGTGTGTGTCTGTGTGTGTCTGTGTGTGTGTGTCTGTGTGTGTCTCTGTGTGTCTCTGTGTGTCTCTGTGTGTCTCTGTGTGTCTCTGCGTGTCTCTGTGTGTCTCTGTGTGTCTGTGTGTGTGTCTGTGTCTGTGTGTGTCTGTGTGTGTGTCTGTGTGTGTGTGTGTGTCTGTGTGTGTCTGCGTGTATCTGTGTGTGTCTGTGTGTGTCTCTGTGTGTGTCTCTGTGTGTCTCTGTGTGTCTCTGCGTGTCTCTGTGTGTCTCTGGGTCTGTGTGTGTGTGTGTGTCTGTGTGTCTCTGTGTGTCTCTGTGTGTCTCTGTGTGTCTCTGTGTGTCTCTGTGTGTCTCTGTGTGTCTCTGTGTGTCTCTGTGTGTTTCTGTGTGTTTCTGTGTGTTTCTGTGTGTGTGTGTGTGTTTGTGCTTGTGTCTGTGTTTGGGTTTGCATTGTTGGTATCAGTGTTGGTGTTTGTGTTTGTGTCTTTGGCGCGTTGTTTTCTTACGCCTCCACCCCGTGTAGTGGACGTTGATGTGTAGACCTTTGCATTCAACATAGTTGGACGGAGGCAGTCTCGGAGCGGGCTTGCAGCGGATGCGGAGCGGTGTCGGAGCTGGGACCACTGGCGCGGACGCACGCGCTTTTCGCAACGTTTAGTTTGCGTGGCAGGCGCATCACTTTCGCCACGCGCAGCAGCTTCGCAAGGTCAGGCGCAGATTTCGTTGCAGGCGCAGCACTTTCGAAGGGAAAGACAAGAATTTCATTGGAACAGAATGAATAGAAGCGGGCCGAAGCCGTAGGCCTGCGCGTGAGTTCGGCTTGTCCGCATGTGCGCAAACACCTCGGTCGCGACGGCTGACGGAGGCGGTCTCGGAGCAGCAATACGATCGTCTAAGTCTCCCTGGTGACTTGCAGGCAGCGGCTTGTGGTGAAAGTGGTCAGATGCATATGGATCACGCACGCGTCGCGTTCCTCATCTTGGGCCGCTGCCGCCTGCGCGCCCGACAGGCGCCGTTTTTTGGCTGGAGGTTCGCTTGTTGGTGCCTGCTTGCCCGCCTGCTGCCGTGCCGTGCCGGGCCGCGTCCAGCTGCAGAAAAAGCGTGCCGCATCAAGAGGAGAGGGGGCTGGAGAGAAAGCGAGAGACAGAGAGAGACGCAGAGAGAGAGAGAGGAGAGAGGGAGTAAGCAAGAAGCAGGAAAGAGAGAGAGAGAGAGAGAACAAAAAAGCAAATTAAGAGCTTTAAGCTAGGCTTTCCTCTTGAAACTTCTGCCCCCAGGCTCTGCCGGACTTCACTGGTGGCACACCCAACGTTGTGTTGCGCAACTGCAGATACCGAATGCATAAGCATGCATCTGCATGTGTGCGCATGTGCACACATGAGCGAGCCCATGCTTTCATTTCGATGCATGGGTTCGAATGTGGTGTGCAGACGGGGTGCTGGAACCGCCTGCTCACATTGCAGGCTTGCGACTACAATGACAATGCCCTTCACCGAACTGATAGCGGAAGTGTTTGCAGCACAGGCCTCATGCAAAAAGGCACATCCACCAAAAGTGAAACCACACCTGCTCGCAAGCCCCGCGCGCCACTCGCAGCTGGTTTGGCAAAGGTTTGGGCGAAATTTCGAAGTGGGGCCATGCGCTGCCTTTCCTTCCTCCTGGTAGCCCGGGGGCTCAGTTTGCTTCTGGCTTAATGTAAAAATGGTGTGTGTGTGTGTTGTGGGAGTACCCCCCGAACTGGGCCAAGGACTGGGCTGATGTGTGGACATCTGCTCGTTTCTTGATGTGGTTAGGCCTTAAAAAGTGACGGTGTTAGGTTTTGTATGGGCAACGCCTCAAAGTTCAACCTTTTATGGGTGGAGGTCGACACGGCTTACGTATTTACTGCTTCTGGGCATTCTGGTGTTGCGATGTCAAGTTAGCTATGCACGCGTGCCCTGCTATTTCAGAGTTGGATTGTTTGACTTCATGACAGCAGTCAACGGCTGTGGTTGTTTCAGCCGCTTGGCAGCCCCAACCTTGTGCACAGCATACAGCTTTTGAGTGTGTGAGCTGAATTTAGGCCACCCAATCCACACCACCCCCTGACCTCCAAACAGCCACCAAATAGGGTATGGGGCTCGTCGCGGCGTCAGCCGCAAAAGGCAATCACATCAGTGCCCCCCCTTGACTCTCGGTTCCTGCAGCTGTTGGGTCACAGCTTGCTTTGTGCTTTTGGGTGTGTTGCAGGGAGGCGATTGCCATTTAGTAGGTTCCCAGCGGCTCACAGGGCCAGCCGACATGCTTTGCGCACGTTTGAAAAATTATGCAGCTTGGGTAATATTTGCAGACCATGGATCTGAGATGGTCAAAGTGACCAAGCAAGCAGCAGCAGTGGCTGCGTTGTTTCTGCGGACGCGTTTGCAAACGAGTCATTCGCCGGACTTGGAGGGTGGTGGTTGCCTCCTGGCGAAAACTTGCAGCCAGGGTCCATCCGGCGGTTCTGCATTTCCATTTCCGCATCCGATTTGCCGGACTGGTTCTTAGCGGAGAACTGCTCACAGCACGGCGTTGCATCCTTGATATGCGCCCTTGCGGTCCTGGGCGCAGCTGGTGCTGCTTGCGCTCATCTTGCCCGGGCTGGGCAGCGGACGCACCTCACATGTGGGGCACGTCGTGCTGCGGCAGGCCTGCGACAACATGGGTGTAGTTGGCGCAGTGCAAAAGTTTGCCTCCGTGTCTCCCGCATTATCCGGAGTTTTGCAAGCGCTGGCCGTGCAGTTCTGGGAAGCGCAGGTTGCCCTGCGTGTGTCGCACATTGCTGGCGCACGGAATGCTTGGGCAGACGCCTTGCCCCGGAGCAGGGGCTGCACGCCCGACTTCTGGGCAGACTTGAGCCCGCAGCACCAGCGCAGGGCGGACTGGCAAGCCTTGCTGCACCGCGGGCAAGCCGAGCGTGGGGCTCTGGCTCTTGCTTAGCCCCGCCTCGCATTGCTTGGAGTGCTTGAGAGGCGGCTGCGGCTTTTGGCAGCGGCTTCGCATTGGCTTCTGTGTGCTGCTGCCTTGTGGGCCACATGGGGCTTATGGCCTACAGGCAGCCATCAGCATGTTGCCAAAAGTCGCGCGCCTGCGGTTTTGGGGTAAAGGGGCGGGGTGCCTACGTGATCATGTGACGCATGCCTCCCGCAGGTACTGTGCAGACAGTGATGTTAGGGGGAAAGCAGCCATTGCCAGACTGAACTCGGTTTTTTGGCGTTTCCCTTTTACAGAAATCACGTGGCCTGCAAGCCGTGCCAGTAAGGCTGGCGTGGGCGTTGCGCTGGCAAGCAACCCTGAGGCGGGAGGTTCCCCCCATCGGCTAACAGTAAACATATGACCTGACTGGGTGGTGGAAGGACATGTTCCTCTAAAAAGGGCTCTTGCTGAGTTCCACGTTGGGAGCGTATTTGCGGATACTTTCTGGTTTGAGCCAGACCCCGAGTGAGAACTGAACGTGCATGACGCTACGATATGCATTGTTCTGTGCCGCGCCGGGTCTGGTGCTGCACTGCTTACGCGAACAAGATGGCAAGTCAGCTGCAAAATCATCATGGCTGCCGGGGCCGCTTTGACTTTGTCCCACAGTTTGTTGAACACCTGTTTTGAGCAGTCATGTGCTTGTCATGTGCTTGGGATGTTCCATGCTTTTGCCATTCCAGTTTCTTGCATTGATAGCTGCATGAATTGCTAAATCCCGCCGCCCTTTCTCCTGACAAGTGTTGTTTGTTTCTGCCAGGTACATGTGTCAAGTGCGCCTTCAGGAGGTTTGTTCGCATCTAGAATGCTTAAATCTGTTGGGCAGTCAAATCGGCGTGTCAGCTGTGCCCAGTGTCGTGGCATACCCTTTGGGCCGAGGACAGGATGTTGAAGGAAGGTTGTATGCATGCTGGGCCATCCCTTCCAGGTCATCTCTCTTCGCTTTGAGTAACTCAAGTGGGGGTGGTGGGCCATGTTTGTTTCGGGCGTCGTGCTGAAGCGTCGGAACTCCAACGTTCACTTGTGATGTTGCAGGCTACCTTCAGTGCAACCCCATCAGAGGGTTCCCTCGGGCCAAACCGCACAATACTTCAGCTATCAGAAATGCTGCCCCGGTGCCAGGGGGAAGCATTTCTGAAGAAGAAGGAGCAGGAGCAGAGTTGGGCAAATTATGCGCAAGCCCTGCGGTGCTCATTGGGAAGCTAAAAGGGGCCCAACTCTGAGGAGCCAGATGTCATAAAGACCTCCACGGGCTTGCTCTACAAGGCGAGCTCAGGTCTCCGAACACGCCGCTTCCCAAGCAGAATGCTGCAGTCATAGGTGTCCTTTTTATTTAGATTCGTTCGGTGAGAAACAAATGGCAGTGGTTTAGATTGCTCGCATTCCATTTACCAGGCTTTCATTTGTCCAAGCAGTCGCCTGTGGTTACAGTTTTTGGTCGAAGTTTGCAAAGCATAACGCCCCATGCACGTCTGGTGGTTTGCATCCCTTTCCTCCAAAAGGGGACTTTCTGATGGGGTTCATCGCAGATGTGGGCGGGAGGCTAGTAACTGGCCTCGCCCGTTGCCTGCGGGCCTGGGAGGGGGTGGGGGTGTGGGTTGGGGACTGAGGTTGAGCTTTGTGTCCAGTGTGTTTTGCTCATCTGGTCACACCTCCGGCAAAGCCAGGTGAGCTTTGGTCCATGGCCGGCCAAGAGCCTGGGGTTTTCTCAAAGTAAGCCAGTTGGATGGTTTATAGGGCCGTGGGTCAAAACCAATGGTACCATCCATCTTAGTTCATTTTAGTGGGGATTGGGATGTTCACTGGGGATACGGATTTTTGACCCATGTCCTAGGGGTCAGACTCCATTTCTCATTCCCAGAGGCTCGTTCAGAGGCCATCTGAAAACGCGCAGGTCGTGAAGAAGGGCGATGGAACTCATCATCCGACGGCTGGTTCGCCCTGCGAATGCCACTACAAGGGTCAGCCACTCCAAAGCAATAAGGGCCAGCCGGTCTGTTGGGGTGTGTGAGTTGTCCGATTTGCGATCGCCCACTGTAAATGATCAAAGCCAGCTTGTCTTCGATTTGCTGAAGAACATGTAAACGTGTTGTTTTTTCTCCTGTTCGGAAGTAGGTCTTTCCTTTTCCGGGACGGGTTATGAAAGCACTTCTCGTGTTCTGTGTGTTTGGAGGGAACTCTTGCCACCCCGGAGCAGTAGATGGGTGTTCCCCGCCAAAAGTGAGGAATCCCCACCAAAAGCGGGCACCCACCTATTGGTCAACTAGGGGTTTATTTATCTAGGGGTTCCATGCAATCATACGGAACGAGTTCGTGTGGCGTTGGCTCACGTCATGGCCCCTTGCAATGAACATGTAGGCATGAGACCATTGCCCGGCTTGAGTCTCTGTTTGCATGGACTTTTACGCATGTATGCATGCACATGTGTATATATATATATATCCCGTGGTTCCTGATTGTTTTCCGCCACTCATGGCGGCTCACGTTTTTCGTAGTACTCTCCAAATGCGGTTTTCTCCTACGCCTGTGTTTATCCCTCAAAATCCACGGCCGCAGAGTGCGCATGTCACATGCAAGGTTCAATCAGGCCAACCCAGCAGTTGGGAAATGGCACAAGGCCACAAGGCATGGACGGTAGATGGAAGTGCTCGACACGGAACCGGGATGGAGCTGCGCAAGGTTGCCCGGTTCCTCAGAGCTCCCAAAACGTTGAGCCCAACGAGATAGCTCGAGTAAGAACTTGCTGGTGTTCAGCAGGGAATGAGAAATGGAATGACCCCGAGAAAAAAAACACTAGCTGGTGGCTTCCTTGAAAGGAAATCCCAAAACGGTCGTCAGTGTGCCCCCCACCCCCCCAAAAATATATATATATATATATATATAAAAGCAAAGAGGTTCGTTCCATTTCTCGTTTTTTGCCTCTCTGGCACCGATCGAAAACAAAATCTGGACTTCGCCCCTGTCTTCCGGAAAATTTCGCCCCCATTCGCATGGAACATGTGAGGTTCATCGAGGGCGAGGAGTTTGACTCCTCCTACAAGCGCGGGACCCCCACGACGTTCAAGCCGAGCCAGGCGCGAAGCAGCGCAGGGTTGCTTGGGCTTTGGGCTTTTGGGTGGGGGGCTGCACCTCGGCTTGCGGGGTTTCAAGGGAAACCAAAAGGAAAACCAGTATTTTGGGGGTCCCCTTTAAAATAAGACCCATACATCACTGGCTAGGGGCAACGGAGATGGAGCTCATGCTCGTTTTCTGGGCAAGCCTTGTACGACTCACACTTATCCAATCGGCTTGTCCAATTTGCCGCAGACCGTCGAGCTTTTTGAGAGGTTGACCGAGTTTTTTTTGGGATCGAGGTCATCGCAGGCTGGACGGAGGCTTTGCAGCTCATGGTGGAGGGAGACCACTGGGAGCTGTACATCCCCTCCGAGCTGGCGCGGGGCGGGGGTTCGGTTTTTTCGGATCAGAATGGATCCGGCCAGTGGGAAGACATAGGTGGCATTGTCGGAGCCCCAAACCCCCCTCCCACTTAGAGGCAAGGGGAATCACATGGAGAGGTGACTGGAACCGACCCGGGGGAAGCAAACAAAACAGGTGGAGAAGCAGAGCACCCCCCTCGCAACCGCGTTCCTCCGATTTTCGGGGTTGGTTTAAAGGGGTGCCCTTAAAGACACCCCCCGCCCCAAATGGGGGGGGTCCATGTTCCTGTTTTGAGTCACACCCACGCGTTGATGCTTTGCCAAGATGCGTCGACCAGGGCTGTGGATCCGTTTGAAAGGAAATGAAGAGAAGATTTGGGTTTGTCTTTTTTCGGGGTTTGGACCTCCCAACATTGCGTAACAGTATCACTTTTGGTTTTCATGAAAGAACAACTAAGAAGGGGTACTAACCAGCTCAAAACAACATAATACATTCATTTTGTTTGTTTCCCCGGTTGGCTTTTGCACGTGGTGGGACAGCGATCGACACCACGCCTTAAATACACTGGCACACCAGCAAGTTGGTAGCCTACTGCTCTCTTCGCAAGCTCGGCCGACCACCTACTGAAGGTTCCAAAGCGCTTTCAAGCCTTCAATTGCAGCTAGTCGCCTCGACAGAAAAGAAAACATATAGTTCCGGTGAGAGCTTCCCTCTAAAATCAGCTTCCATCTAATTGGTGTTTTGGACACATACGCCACTTGTGTTGTTCCTTGCTCTGACAGATTTATGCCTTTCCTTGTGGATGCCCTTTAAACCAAACCAAAGAAGCTGTCCACGTTGACATGGAACCCACCGGCCCATTTTGAGGGACAAACACGGATTTCAGACTGGGGGCCCCTCCATTTGGGGGTCCCTCCTGTTTTCCACCAATTTGTCGGGAATGCCGGGACCCCTTTTTGGACACCGCGACGGCTATGGACACCAAAAGGACTCCGATTGCCATAGGCATCTGACCTCCGGGAAATTTGTTTTCCTCTGCCAGGCCTATGGCAGCCGGGGAGCCGGGGGCAGGATCCCTCCACATGCGGCGCTCGTGTTCACGCCCGCGCCCCAAACACAGATGGGCGGGTGGCCGGGTTTTGAGGCGACGGACAAGGCGCTTTGCACGTCAATTCGTGGATTCCTGGAATTTTCCCTAGAACTTGCTGGGCTCAACGATCCCTATTTTGAGAGATTCAATTTTCGAGACTCTTCATTTGAGATAATTTCAGGGTTCTCCAAACCACGTTAGAGGGTAGTGAGGCAATTACTTCAATGGTTGAGTGGGGCTGTGGACGACCCGATGGGTTGTGACAGACGTGTGACACCTGTTCCAAGGGTTTAGCCCTTTGGATGTGCGTCGCGTACCTGCTGGGCCTGTGGGCATTCTTTTCTTCTGGCAATTTTGCAGCGAATCACCGCCCTTCATCTTCATCCGGGCGTGTTTGGGTATGTTTTACAGCGCGCTGCGCTCCTGTGCTCCTGCAGCCATGCCGATCCGCAAACTTCAGGCTGGTTGTGTCGCACGGATGTCTATAGTAACCTAGACTTGCAAACATGAAGGCATACAGAGGATCATAATATCTGATCCTGCATCGGCTCTTTGTTTATGTCCTGTCTTGGCCTGGTGCAGTGCAGGGATTAGCACCATCGCTGCAAGAAGGCAGTTGTTTGCAGGATCGATGCAGGCAGAAGCCTCGTGCTCTTTCTCGCGTATCTGACATGCAGCACCGAGCGCCAGCTCTGGCTGCAGTCAGTCCTGTGTGAAAGTCACTCTTCTTCCATTCGGTTAGGAATATATGTTTCCCTGTTGGGGAATCCATCACTGCTGGATTTTTTTCAGGGGACTTAAGCAAATGGAGGTCTTGATGTGTTCATCATTGCAGGAGTGGCAGCGCGCTGTTGTTTTCCCAAGGGCCAGCATGCGAGGATATCCAGCAAAAGTCAAAGGTTAGATTCTAATGTTGACCCCATGTTAATCAACCCCAGCAAAATAGTACGCGGGTGTCCCTGGGTTTAGTGGGGAACCATCACTTTTGGAGGGTCACAACCTCTATTTGTAAACTGGGGTTGGTTAATATGGGGTCAACATGATGCTCCTCTTGGACTGGTGTCTTTACCATAGCTTTTTGCGGGAGCAAAAAGTTAAACTATGTCTTCGCACGGCTCAGTCTGGTCAAGAGAGCAGGTCTACACATCTTTGCTGTTTAGCCTTCTGATTCATGGGGCCTGGGGGGGAGGGAGGGGTGAGGCCCACTGCCCCAGGTGCCTATCCCAGAAAAAAACTGGTACCCTGTGGTGGTAGAGGTCGTTGATTTGGTCCGGATCTATTCCGGAGAGAATCCAATATGCCACTGTGGATGATTGGAGGATGGATTGTCCCTGGTAAATTGTCTTGTGGATAATCCTGTAAGCGGCCTGCTAAGGTTCTTTTGCTTCACGCGATCATGAATGATGCAATGTTACACAAAAGGGGCCTTGAGCCAAATGTTGCAAAAAATCAAGTGTTCAGTAAACCAAACACAAAACAGACACAAATTTCTTTTGATCTCCAGCACTAAGAAGAAGTATGAAATACTATTGGCTTCATGGCCTTTTGCCGTAGCCTTGATGTATGCCGTAGCCATGCTGTATGCCGTAGCCATGTGTATTAAAAATGCCGGATTCATCCTCCTTTCTGCTCGGATGAAATGTCTTGGCTTTCGAAATGGAAAACACTATGTGCTGCTTCTTTTTGAGATACCTAGATGTATCAAAGGGTGATGTACAACGCTATGTACACGCGGGACGATTGTGAAACTATTGATCTCTCACTCATTGTATAGTCTTGTAGACGGCGAGGATCAATCATCTGAATTGAGTTCGTGGTGCTGAACGTATGAATCTTCATGGTCAGTCGGATCGACGATACCATCGGCGGCTGCTGTCGGATTGACTGCCATAGTCTACATAATCATTCCAGGTCGAGGTGCTATAGTCCTTCCACTGCTTATGATGTCCCCACTGCTTGTTGTAGTCCTTGTACTCCTGCGGGGTCCAGGCTTGTTTCTTCTTGATGTATTCCTGGTATCTCTCAGAGTTGCGTTGCCTGGTTGCAGATTTGCTGCGGATGTAAACCATGAGGGGACTGTGAGAGTCGGAGTCCTGCGAGCCATTCATGAACATGTCATTGTTCACGTGCTTAAAGCGCTCTGCGGATGAGACCTGGTAATCGAATATGGCCTTGGTTGGATCGTTCCGCATGAGTTCCAGTTGTTCATCATCCATGCCGTTCATCTCGTCCTTCCGGAAAGCCTGCTGGATGTTCGTTTTGCCCCATCCAAATACGAAAGTCATCATCACATCTGGGAATGTTCGATCATATCCTGATCCACACTTCATGTACAGGTGATGACGGACAATGGATTTCAGGGTGCACGAAATCTCCATTGCATACTCCATTCTGTCCACGAGTGGCAAATCTTTCGTTTCATTCCACAGTCTCTGATATGCTCTCGTGAGGATGTTCACGAGACCATTGGCCGGATTGAAGACGTGCTGGAGTTTGCTGTAGGTGTTCGCTGATTTGTTGGCGTCTCCGGTGATCGCATCGCATCGGTACAATGTCACGAGCGGCATGATTTCATTCTGAAGATTTCCCCGTGCTGCTCCATGGCTGATTGAAGGATGAATGTGGAAAACTCCAATGGTAGCGAATGGGAGGTCTGCCCTCGTTATGTGTCAGGACCCATGTCCACTTGTCGTCTGCATTCCTTATGGACTCCACCTTGGATCATGTCGAAGACATCCGGAAAATGATCTGCTCATTCTCTCAATTCGCCAGAGGATGAGATCTGTGATCTGTTTCGCCTTGGATGGATCCATGCGGAAGTATTTGCAAACCTGTTCGACATTCTGGACGGTCTTCTCGAGATCAATGTTGACTGTGGCATACCATCGGGATGATGTCGGTTCCGTAAACTTCGGATTGAGCATTGGTGTAGCAGCAGATGCTGTAGACCTTCTTGATGAAGTCCATGTATTGCTTCTCCGTATGAGGTCCTTCACCTTGGAGTGTTGGCTGCCAGTAATCGTTGTATCTGGCCTTCAACCAGAATACCTTGACTCCACGTGGTCTCTCATGCTCAGGAACGAAATGGAAGTCCGGATTGACATCGAGGATGGTTGAGCATTCCTTGTAGTACTCGTACACACAATTCAGGAATTTTGACTTTCCGAAAGGTCCTGGGTGTACGGATTCCTTCGGGAGGCTGATGGTTGTATCCGATCCATATGTTACAAACCACCGATCATTGGATGTGAGAACAGGCCGCATCGCTGGCCGCCTTGGAAGTGCAGGTCGATCACCAGGATGATTGTCGGATTCCGTCTCTTCATCCAAGATGTTCTTTGGTGCTGGCTTGACCTTGGAGACAAGCCTCAATGCTGGTGGCGGTGACTTTGGAACAAGTTTCGGATGCGGCATCGCCTTTGACGTAGGCCTTCCTGCGGGAGGATGCCCTTCTTCATCTGAATCATCGTCGTCGGAATCTGGATCATAATCAACCTGCTCCATGTTGACATTCTCGGGTTGTTGAGAGGCGGCTGGATTCTCATCGGCGACTTGCTCCGTGGGGCAGTCTGATGTCTCATCTTCCTCATCACGAGCAGGGGATTCCTTCAACGGTGATGCCCGTCTCTTGATCATCGGCTTTGGCACAGGTGCCGCGGCGCTGGATCGTCCGAAGATCATATTGAGAATGGGCATGTCTTCGAAGTGATCGAGCATACAAGATTGCAAAGGTCGGATTGGTTGTAAACCGAAAGTGGCTGCGGATGCAGACACATATTTCTTGAGATTCAAAATGGGTCAAGTGCAAACACACGCATCACGGATTTGAGGAATTGAAAATGTGCAAAACGGAAAAACTCATGCATCAGAATTCGTGGACATGCGGATCATGCCCAGGTTCCCCAATAAGCAAACATGGATTCTGCTATACCGACTCCTGCAAAGGCAATGAGGTCGGGTGTGCTAGCCACTCAACCAAAAATGCCTTGTTCTGCAACATGGTACGGAAGGGTGGATGTGCATCTACATTCAAGAGATTGCCGGTGAGGACGGCCTTGACGAGCTCGTCTGCTTTAGCTGAATGCTTGGTCAGCGAATCTGCCAGACAATCCTCACTCCGTACATGTGCAAGGTCGTGCATCTGTCCACTGTTGCTTTCCTTTCTCAACATCTGGATCAAATGCATTGTTTCTTTCTGTTCCGGTTGATGTGTTGTGGATGCTGTGGTGACAAGATTGTTCGCATCAGTGCGGATGTGTACATCTGCGATTTCGCCCGTTATGTCTGACCAGAGACCGCGAAGAAATAATGCTGAACCGTAACAACGCATTAGTCCGTGCAACTCTGCAACAGTAGTGGACATGGTTGTGGCGGTGATCTTGTGCGTCTCATAGTCGACCAGTGAGCCTCTCGAGTTCGATGAGCCCTGGCGAAGATCTCTTTGTTCTGCCAGAAAGATAACATGCGCACGTTGGGATGACTTATCCTCGTTGTTGCGATAGGATGCATCTGGATAGCCAACTATGCGTGTCTTGCCACGAAGGGGCCATAATCTCATACTAAGCGGGATGCTTTTGATGGTTCTGACTGTCTTATTAATGGCGCGAACGTCCTCAATGGTCGGTGATGATGCCTTGGATGCACACCTGGAGAATTGATAGCCAATGTGGAACTGCGTTCGCGACTGTAACCAGTTGATCTGACCTAGGACACTTCTGTATGCAGTATGCATTTGTGGAGTAAGAGGAGTGTCGTCCTTCAGGTGTTTGTCAAAAGTGATCTGCTGAAGTTCGTCGATGGCAACATTCTGATGGACATTGATGTGCCAACCGTGCTTGTCATCTTGCTTCCATTGGATGCGCTGTCCTACTGAGAGGCAATCATTTTTGTCTTCGGAACCAACCTGAAAATCTTTTCGAAGTCGTCCCATGATTTCCGTCTCAAACACGTCATCCCCCGTCATAAGAAGATCATCTACATGAAGAGACAGTGCTCCATGAACTTGTCGATT